TGACGGACTTTATTTTGGCGGATTGACGTCTTACTGGTCTCCGTCCGCTTATTCTGGGACGCCCATTCTGGCCAGATTCGTCTAATCGTCAACCACTCGCCAGATTGGCGTCCTAATCAGTCACCGTCCGCTTATTCTGGCCAGATTGGCGTCTAATCAGTCACCGTCCGCTTATTCTGGCCAGATTGACGTCTAATCAGTCACGTCCACTTATTCTGGCCAGATTGACGTCTAATCAGTCCCGTCCACTTATTCTGGCCAGATTGACGTCCTAATCAGTCCCGTCCACTTATTCATTTCTAATCGTCTCCTTATTCTGGATGGTCCTAATCGCCCGCCAATTGCAATCAGTCACCGTCCACTTATTCTGGCCAGATTGACGTCTAATCAGTCACCGTCACTTATTCTGGCCAGTTGCGTCTGTCCCCACTATTCTGCCAGATTGGCGTCTAATCAGTCACCATCCACTTATTCTGGCCAGATTGACGTCCTAATCAGTCACCGTCCACTTATTCTGGCCAGATTGACGTCCTAATCAGTCACCGTCCACTTATTCTGGCCAGATTGGCGTCTAATCAGTCACCCGTCCGCTTATTCTGGCCAGATTGGCGTCTAATCAGTTACCGTCCACTTATTCTGGCCAGATTGACGTCCCTAATCAGTCACGTCCACTTATTCTGGCCAGATTGGCGTCCTAATCAGTCCCGTCCACTTATTCTGCCAGATTGACGTCCTAATCAGTCTCCACTATTCTGGAATGCGTCTAATCGTCCCTTATTCGCAATTGCGTCTATCGTCCCGTCCACTATTCTGGCCAGATCGTCTCTCCCGTTTCGCCATTGCGTCAATCTCCGTCCTATTCTGGCCAGATTGGCGTCTAATCAGTCGTCCACTTATTCTGGCCAGATTGGCGTCCTAATCAGTCACCGTCCACTTATTCTTGGCAGATTGGCGTCCTAATCAGTCCCGTCCATTATTCGGCCAATTGCGTCTAATCAGTCCAATTCTGGCCAGATTGGCGTCCTAATCAGTCACGTCCACTTATTCTGGCCAGATTGACGTCTAATCAGTCACCGTCCACTTATTCTGGCCAGATTGACGTCTAATCAGTCACCGTCCACTTATTCTGGCCAGATTGACGTCTAATCAGTCACCGTCCACTTATTCTGGCCAGATTGGCGTCTAATCAGTCACCGTCCGCTTATTCTGGCCAGATTGGCGTCCTAATCAGTCATCCGCTTATTCTGGCCAGATTGGCGTCCTAATCAGTCACCGTCCACTTATTGTCGCCCCACCCACTTATTCTGGCCAGATTGGCGTCCTAATCAGTCACCGACCACTTATTCTGGCCAGATTGGCGTCTAATCAGTCACCGACCTTATTGCAGATTCGTCTAATCGTAACCGTCCACTTATTCTGGCCAGATTGACGTCCTAATCAGTTACTCATCGTCTTTTCGTACTCTGCTCTGTCCTCTGGTAATTACTGTTGCCAATTCTCTCGTTTATTTCATCTCTTTTGACTTATTTTTACTATTTCTTCCTATTTCCATCTTCATTTCTTCCTATTTCTCCCCTATTTCACACTTTATTTCTTGCTGTACACATACATACATACATACATACATACACACATACATACATACACACATACATACATACATAGGGTAACGGTAATAACTCGCTCCAATGTCGTCCTTTAAGACGTGGTCTGGGGTCAGAACGTTAAGCCTAAATAGAGGTGATTATTTTAGCTCTTTATCCCTTGTGTAGTGACGATAATATTGACGTCGTGCGGAAATAATTTGTATAGGAGAGAATTTTTTCATTGGACGGTGAAAGCTCAATTTAATGGGGTATTGATGGAAGTTCATTATATCGAGGGTCCGTTAGATACAAAACCCCTACATAAGAGACTGTACCGAGAGAAAAAAAAACCCATTGTGCTGCGATTTTAAAACTAGATAAGATACCCCATAGCTAAGACCCACCAATGGGGGTACGAGACGATCCATCCTCCCCCCGTGACTACACCCCGCGCGGACGACCAAAAACCCGACTGATCCTTCACTTGACTTTTTTTCTTTCACCCAAGAGAAAAAATAAATAAAAATCCCCCAAAAAATCAATCAATAACTGAAACTAAGTGAAGAGCAATAACGTCATCTTTTATAGCTTGATGGTTCCTATGGGTGTATAGATGTCGTGGTGATTTATGTGATCGTTGTGTTTATATATTTTGGTAAATATTGAGTTTTGTGTCAAATTAGAGTCTAAAAATTAGGTTTTGTGTCAAATTAGAGTCTAAAAATTAGGTTTTGTGTCAAATTAGAGTCTAAAAATTAGGTTTTGTGTCAAATTAGTCTAAATATTAGGTCTTGTGTCAAATTAGATTCTAAAATCAAATCAGGGTCTAAATTATTAGGTATTGTGTCAAATCAGTTTCTATTGTATTGAGTTTGGTGTCAAATTAGGGTCTAAATTATTAGGCCCTGTGTCAAATTAGTGTCCAAAGTATTAATGTTGAGTCAAATTAGGATCTAAAGTATATAGTATTGGAAGTGTTTAATTTTGTATTGATTGGTGTACAGCGAAACCCTTATTTAACAGAAGATGAAAGTCCATTATATCGAGGGTTCGTTAGATGTGAAACCTCCATTTAACGAACTATATAGAGATGAAAGTCCATTATATCGAGGGTTCGTTAGATGTAAAACCTCCATTTAACGAACTATATAGAGAGGAAAGTCCATTATATCGAGGGTTCGTTAGATGTGAAACCTCCATTTAACGAACTGTATAGAGATGAAAGTCCATTATATCGAGGGTTCGTTAGATGTGAAACCTCCATTTAACGAACTATATAGAGATGAAAGTCCATTATATCGAGGGTTCGTTAGATGTAAAACCTCCATTTAACGAACTATATAGAGAGGAAAGTCCATTATATCGAGGGTTCGTTAGATGTGAAACCTCCATTTAACGAACTATATAGAGATGAAAGTCCATTATATCGAGGGTTCGTTAGATGTAAAACCTCCATTTAACGAACTATATAGAGAGGAAAGTCCATTATATCGAGGGTTCGTTAGATGTGAAACCTTAACGAACTGTATAGAGATGAAAGTCCATTATATCGAGGGTTCGTTAGATGTGAAACCTCCATTTAACTAACTGTATAGAGATGAAAGTCCATTATATCGAGGGTTCGTTAGATGTAAAACCTCCATTTAACGAACTATATAGAGAAAAGTCCATAAAACTCCGTTATATCGAGGTTTCGCTGTATATCAACGCTACGTAGGATAAATTAGCCTAGTGGAGTGTACAGTCGCTTAACTCTGTACTGTGTGTGTGGGGGCTAATTATCTTAACCCAATTTGCTTTCAGTTACGATCGATGCAGTTGTTCAGTATGGTGTAATGGCCTGAGGTTTATTTATGCATTTCCACATATTTTTTCTCAATATGAGTTTGATTTTAATCTTCGTTTTTGAGTGAGGTTGATTTGTGTGTGTGTGTGTGTGTGTGTGTGTGTGTATTAATAGTCTTTGTGTGGGTATTATTGACCTTTTGTTGGTGTTTTAATTCCATTTTTTTACCCACAGGTATTTAATACTTTAGAAAATATTATCTGAGTTTTATTGAGGAATATTAGTCTTTTGTGAGGGATATTAACATTATGACTAGAGAAATATTATTACCTACTAATGACCAAAAGAGAGTTAGGTTATATGTTAAAAACCCATAGTTAAAAATCAGGTTAAAATTCTTGGTTGCTGACAAACTATGGGTAATGTATATAGAATTTCACCTGAAGAATTATGAGTTTATATTATCTAAATTAACCCACTTGATTTATCTATATAACTAGATTAAGGATTTATATGTATATAATATAAACCAAAAGATTTATATTTATATGATATAAATTAAACCATTTATATAAATTTAATAGTTTATATATAAGTGTAGACCAGAGAAATAGAATTGAGTTATTTAGTCTATATAGATATTTAAGCCAAAGAGATAGATTTATTATAGTGGAAAAATGAGTCAGTTTATATATCAATGTATAGTTACTCATACAAATTCCACATCTTTAGTTTAGTTTTTCTTTTGATTATTTACTTGTCAGAATCTTGTCGGCTAGAATTTTGTCACCTAACTTAAACTAATCTAACCTGTTCTTCGTTGATTTAATCCCAGTTAAATTAGGTTAATTCTCTTAAATTAATCCCAGTTAAATCAGGTTAATACCTAGTTAATTAGACCCCAGTTAACGAGATTCATCTCGTTGGACCATACCCCATAGTTAATCCTAAATCCCCAGATTAACGTTTATAATTAGTTAATCCCGTTAGGTTAGGTTTATTCTTGTGGATTAGGGTGTTAGGGCCAGATTACACCACAGGATAAGGTGTCAGGGTGTTAGGGCCAGATTACACCACAGGATAAGGTGTCAGGGTGTTAGGGCCAGATTACACCACAGGATAAGGTGTCAGGGTGTTAGGGCCAGATTACACCACAGGATAAGGTGTCAGGTTGTTAGGGCCAGATTACACCACAGGATAAGGTGTCAGGGTGTTAGGGCAGATTACACCACAGATAAGGTGTCAGGTTGTTAGGGCCAGATTATACCACAGGTTAAGTGTCAGGGTGTTAGGGCCAGATACACCACAGGATAAGGTGTCAGGTGTTAGGGCCAGATTACACCACAGGATAAGGTGTCAGGGCCAGATTACACCACAGGATAAGGTGTTAGGGCCAGATTACACCACAGGATAAGGTGTCAGGGCCAGATTACACCACAGGATAAGGCGTCAGGGCCAGATTACACCACAGGATAAGGTGTCAGGGTGTTAGGCAATGGTCGAGCATGATGGACCTCTGTTGTAGTGATTAACTGATGTGTGGTTTGAGGTGATTAGCCAGGTTGAATTGGGTAGTTGAGAGGTTAAAGTGTTGTAAGGTGTTTGACGACTGTGTGTGGTGGTTGGCTGAGTTTTAATGACTCGTGGGCGGCGGTTGTCGTGTTTAACGAGGCTCATCTCTCACCAGCAGGGCGAGGAGTGCATCAGTGGTCAACGCTCTCTGCAGGTCACCTTGTCGGGTGAAACTAGAGGTGTTGCCTCCTCCTCCCCCAATTCCCCCCCACCACCCTCTCCCCCCCAGCACACTGCGGGCCCCCACGCTGAGTCGGTGACCCAGCTTATGGCCCCTTCATTGGTGGAGAAGACAAATGACCAAGAACCGATGGAGGAGCCTAAGAAGAGCCAAGACATGGAGCAGTTAAGAGTCGGGACGATCAACGCCTCCTCCAGTGGGGGCCACAGGACGCCACAAGTCGGGGAAGAGGTCGTGGAGCGGGCGGAGGGCAACTCGTGGGAGCAGAGGCCGCGACGCCCTTCGCAGGTTTCCGACCTCTCGTCCGGCAGTTCCGACGAACGCCTCAATTATTCCTCGGCCTCGCCTCGCGCGCTCTGGGAACGCCGGGGCAAGGCCAAGCCCGTGGCCGGGGCCCCCGACCTGGTGATGGATCTCCCGGTGGCGCCGCTGTCGTCTTCCCCCAAAGAACAGGGCGGCGTCAGTCCCAGGTTACGCCGCACTCACCTCCGCCGGGAGACCAAGAGTTACGACAGTTCTTCCTCGTCCGGAGGTTCGTCGCCGGGCACCCAGTCTCCTGACATGACCGCGGGCGAGGTCTTCGCCAAACAGAGTCAGTGCACGTTGAAGAAGACTCCGGCCCTCAAGTCTTTTGGGGGCTACAGCACGGACGCCCAGACGCAGACCGTCATCCCGGTCAAGGTGACGTCGTCCCTCGGCCCGACTCGGAGAAACGCCGACGCCACGGAGTTGAGAATAACGGAGGCGGAGGAGTCGTCGGTCTCCAGCATCGTGCGGAGTCTAGACGACGTGATGCAACGGCTGGACTCGGAGATGCGAAGCGAACGCGCCGAAGTTTCCTCCGACGTCTCAGTCGAGATCGGATCGGCGTCGGACAAGCCGCAGGAAGTGACCGCGGCTCCGTCGACTCCAAAGCTGACCGCCCGTTACCTCCAGGCCGTGGCGGCATCGACGGGCGGGTCGACGCCGGCGCTAAAACCCCCCGTTAGGGTCAAACCTTGCGTCCTGAAGAAGCCATCTCTGACGCGAGGCTCGCCCGAACCCGAGCCGCCCAAGTAAACGGACGAGAAAAAACACGATAGTTTCTTTAACCGCTGGAAGTCTCGGCTGCAGACAGAGAGACTGGCCTTATTGGTACTTTATAAATAGTGTTACAATATTCACTAGTTTGTGTGCAGTGTAGATAAACTTTCTAGTTGATGATGTGTCGTGGCGGCCATTGATGAGTTCACCGCCGTACTTACTGACCCCAAACGGAATTTATTTTACGTTATAACCATTTTTTTTCTACTGTGACGATATTTGTGTCAGGAAAATAGTAATTAACCGCCGTAGATTTAGGTGTAGTGTTTGGTTACAGGTGGCGCCATCTTGTGCCAGTGAAAAGACGCATTTACTCTGTTTACATAAGGATCCCTAATGGTGTTGTTGTGATGATCGTGACATACAACTTTCTATTAGTGACGTTTTTGTTGGTCTTGCTATTCAGACGCTGTGAAGTAATATCGAGATCGGTAACAATATTGCAACTAGCAGATGGTGCAGAATCAGTGATGGATTACTAGCTTGAAGCGTGGTATTGGAACTAGCAGATGGTGCAGAATCAGTGACAGATTACTAGCTTGAAGCGTGGTATTGGAACTAGCAGATGGTGCAGAATAAGTGATGGATTGCTAGTTTGAAGCGTGGTATTGGAACTAGCAGATGGTGCAGAATCAGTGATGGATTACTAGCTTGAAGCGTGGTATTGGAACTAGCAGATGGTGCAGAATCAGTGATGGATTACTAGCTTGAAGCGTGGTATTGGAACTAGCAGATGGTGCAGAATAAGTGATGGATTGCTAGTTTGGTGATGGTATTTGAACTAGCAGATGGTGCAAGAAACATTAACGGATAACTAGTTTGGTGGTAATATTGGTTCTATTGCAAGGAACACTATTGGGTGATAATGGTGATATTGCAAGGAACAATATCAAGAAAGGTGGCAATGGCAGATACATAATGCTCAAAGTGGTGGTGCAACTTAACCGTTTCTTCCAATGCATTTCTTTTATATCAACCAGTATTGGCAACACTTATATTACCTTATTCAGTAATTTTTATCGAGTTATGTTGACAAGGCTAAAGGGAAATCACCTCTGTATGAGACCCGTGTTCTAAACGCCGAGGGAAAACGTCTCTACTCGGTATTTTTTTTTATCAGTATTATGGTTCGATGTTACAAATCCGTTTTATTGTTTTTGTTTTTACGAGCAGCAAGTTGTGTGTTTGTTGTTTGTCTGTATGACGTTTAGGGCCATGTGTATTGACCCGTGTGCGTCTGTATGCACTATTGTCCCGTGTGCGTCTGTATGCACTTGTCTGGAAATGGCAACGTCTAGTCAGAGTTTCGTTGGGAAGATAATGCAAACTTGGACACATCGATGGACTTTCTACAGGCATTCAATAACAAACTCAACTATGAACCTTTATATAATGGACTATGTTAATGTAAAAATCCATTATATCGAGGTTCTGTTAGATATGAAAACTCCACCTAACGAACTAGATAAAAAATCCATTATATCGAGGTTCTGTTAGATATGAAAACTCCACCTAACGAACTAGATAAAAAATCCATTATATCGAGGTTCATTAGATGTAGAAACCCCCTTAAATGGATTCAAAGAGAGAGATGATTTATCATACGGACATTTCACCGTGGATAAAATTCCTGTACGGTCAAAAACAAAAGAAATGAGTATTATTGCCAGATACTTGGACTGATTATGAATGGTGCTTCCCAAGAGTTGGTGTATTGAAGGCAACTGATCCTAGGAGTGAGAGACAGAGAAATAATAGCAAGCTCACTATATATTTTGGTGTATTGACGTAAACTTGATCCTAGAAGCGTCTTTGGCCGTAGAAAAAGAGAGAGAGAGATTTAAAACATAAATAAACTATATATTTTAATGATCATTCCTGTACTGTGTATATATATATATATATTACGAACAAACAAACAAATTCAAGTGGAGACGTAGATAAAATACAGTTTGTGACGACTAAGACCCCATAACCAGGAACGGGCCGAGATGCCTCACCGGAACTCTCGAGCTTATGACCTACAAGCCTCGGGATCACTGCTCATCGTATTGACATTTGTAAATAAAAACAAAGCAACAAAAACGTAAAAAAAAAAACAGACCAGACAAATTACTAATGTTTAAGTGAATTTAATCCGTAGTTGAAGCACAATTATGTGATATGATGCATAGTAATGGACCAATCATCTGAGTGCTTATTTTCCTAAAGTAGTGGTGGTAGTGTACATGGCCCATAGTGGTGGTAGTGTACATGACCCATAGTGGTGGTAGTGTACATGGCCCATAGTGGTGGAAGTGTACATGACCCATAGTGGTGGAAGTGTACATGGCCCATAGTGGTGGTAGTGTACATGGCCCATAGTGGTGGAAGTGTACATGGCCCATAGTGGTGGTAGTGTACATGACCCATAGTGGTGGAAGTGTACATGGCCCATAGTGGTCAAAGTGTACATGGCCCATAGTGCTGAAAGTCTTAAAGGCCACACAGAAGTCTTCAGGGCCACACAGAAGTCTTCAGGGCCACACAGAAGTCTTTAGGGCCACCCAGAAGTCTTCAGGGCCACAAAGAAGTCTCCAGGGCCACACAGAAGTCTTAATGGCCACACACAAGTCTCCAGGGCCACACACAAGTCTTCAGGGCCACACACAAGTCTTCAGGGCCACACAGAATTTTCCAGGGCCCAGAAGTCTTCAGGGCCACACAGAAGTCTTTAGGGCCACCCAGAAGTCTTCAGGGCCACACAGAAGTCTTCAGGGCCACACAGAAGTCTTCAGGGCTTCAGGGCCACACAGAAGTCTTCAGGGCCACACAGGAGGGCCACCCAGTAGTCTTCAGGGCCACCCAGAAGTCTCCAGGGCCACACAGAAGTCTTAATGGCCACACACAAGTCTCCAGGGCCACACACAAGTCTTCAGGGCCACACACAAGTCTTCAGGGCCACACACAAGTCTTCAGGGCCACACAGAATTTTCCAGGGCCCAGAAGTCTTTAGGGCCACACAGAAGTCTTTAGGACCACACAGAAGACTCCAGGACCAAACAGTAGTCTTCAGGGCCACACAGAAGACTCCAGGGCCACACAGTAGTCTTCAGGGCCACACAGAAGACTCCAGGGCCACACAGTAGTCTTCAGGGCCACACAGAAGACTCAAGGGCCACACAGTAGTCTTCAGGGCCACACAGAAGACTCCAGGGCCACACAGAAGACTCAAGGGCCACACAGTAGTCTTCAGGGCCACACAGAAGACTCAAGGGCCACATAGCAGTCTTCAGGGCCACAGGGAGGAGGTGGGTGGCCTCCATTACCCTAGTGGATAAACGAATTTTTGGATCTGAGAATGAATAGCCACTGTATATATGACTTGGTTTTTTCTTCTTGGAAAGTATGACACAAGGGGCACATGTTGGTGTGTGAGGGAGTGTGGCAGTGAGAGGGAGGGAGAGGGGGCTAGTGAGAGGGAGGGAAGGAGGGATAGGGAGTGTGGCAGCGAGAGGGGGCTAGTGAGAGAGGGATAGGGAGTGTGGCAGCGAGAGGGAGGGAGAGGGTAGTGAGAGAGTGTGATAGAGAGGAGTGGCAGCGAGAGGGAGGGAGAGGGGTGCTAGTGAGAAAGAGGGATAGGGAGTGTGGCAATGAGAGGGAGGGAGAGGGAGCTAGTGAGAGGGACGGAAGGAGGGATAGGGAGTGTGGCAGCGAGAGGGAGGGAGAGGGGGCTAGTGGGATAGGGAGTGTGGCAGCGAGAGGGAGGGAGAGGGGGCTAGTGAGAGGGAGGGATAGGGAGGTAGAAGAGGGGTTTGTGAGAGGGATAGACGCATTGTCAAAAGGACAGAGAGAGAGAGAGAGACAGGAAGAGAGAGAGATAGAAAGACAGGGAGAGGGAGAAAGGTCCACTGTGAGAAGGAGAGAGAGAGAGAGGGCTATTGAGAGGAAGATGGAGAGAGGGCCATTGAGTTAGAGTCAGTCAGAAAGAGAGAGACAGATTTACAGAGGAAAGGATGAAGTGCAAAGTCGACTCTTACGTTATTTATCAGGTCAAATGAATCTCAACACTACGAGATAATATTTAGATAAGAAACATTAATATGTCATCCAGCCAAGGGGTCGTCATCTCATCCAGCCTAGGGGTAGTAAGGGAACGTTCTCTCGTGTGGTATAATTAGAGTGTGTCGAGGCTCGTGTGTGTGGTATAATTAGAGTGTGTTGAGGCTCGTGTGTGTGGTATAATTAGAGTGTATTGAGGTTCGTGTGTGAGTGTATGGGTAGCAACATGGACGCTCCGGAGTATCGACTTGGCGGCTTGTCGAGTGTTGTGGCGGCGTGATGTGTATTTAATCGGAACTGATGTTGATTATTTAGTTCTGTATGAATTATGTGACGATTATATGTATAAAATTAAGTGGTACTCCCTTCCAAAAGCCTATTTAATCCAAAGTGACAGGAATTATATAGTTTTGTCAATTATAGCCAGTTAAGTGAAGTAATCACCTGAGGTACTACCAACACATTCTTCCCTGACATTCCTTGTAGAAAAAAAAAGTCAAATATCCACAATTTATCCATGAAATCCAAGTAACGTTCATATCCATAATTTATCATTAATTTCTGTTGATTGTCTCACTTGTTTTGATGTGAATGGGTTTGGATAACAATAAACGACACAATTTTTTTTCTGAAAGGGATTGAGATGGTAATGGAAGAGGATCTGATGCTCATTTGTTTTGTTATTTGTTTCATGTCATTTATATTCTTTACATATAAATCAGTGAGATATTAAATTTTTTTTTTAATATGACAAAGGCACAGAGATGACATTACCATCTATATTCCAATTAAAATAGGTGTTTGTTATGATGACGTCGATAAATATATATAAATATTATATATATTTACCTATAACAAGACCTGGAGGGGGAAAGAGATTGATAGTAAAACCTCCATCTAACGAACTAAATAGAGATGGAAGTCCATTATATCGAGGGTCTGTTAGATGTAAAACTTCCATATAATGAACTATATAGAGATGGAAGTCTGTTATGTATAAGGTGATCATTGGTAGGTGTGAAAGCTATGTTCATCAGATAGTCTTTTGTTATATAAGGAGAAACCACCGAGTCTATTGTTTCACCCGATAGTCTTTTGTTTTATAGGGAAATGTCACTGACCTTATTGTTTCATCTGATAGGCATTTGTTTTATAGGGAAATGTCACTGACCTTATTGTTTCATCTGACAGGCATTTGTTTCATAGAGAGAGGTGTCGCTGACCTTATTGTATATGAGCTGATGTTGTGTCCCTTGTGTCTGATTGTCTTGTTTATTTCTTTCTATGTGTTTATCTTCGCTTTCTCAACTCATTTCTACCCATTACTTGTTGTCTCTCCTTCTCATTTACTTGTTTCGTTACGAGACTACAAGCTTGAAAGTGTACTATTTTACTTGCAGTGTTACGAAATAATAAAATATTTTGAAAGTATTTACTTGTTTTTCTATTAATTATAACTCCCACAACGAGCTGTATAAAGGTCCCAGGGACTACCAGAGTGTCTTGGGGACTACCAGAGTGCCTTGGGGACTACCAGAGTGTCCCAGGGACTACCAGAGTGTCTTGGGGACTACCAGAGTGTCTTGGGGACTACCAGAGTGTCTTGGGGACTACTAGAGGGTCCCAGGGACTACCAGAGTGTCTTGGGGACTACCAGAGGGTCCCAGGTACTACCAGAGTGTCTTGGGGACTACCAGAGTGTCTTGGGGACTACTAGAGGGTCCCAGGGACTACCAGAGTGCCTTGGGGACTACCAGAGGGTCCCAGGTACTACCAGAGTGTCTTGGGGACTACCAGAGTGTCTTGGGGACTACTAGAGGGTCCCAGGGACTACCAGAGTGCCTTGGGGACTACCAGAGGGTCCCAGGTACTACCAGAGTGTCTTGGGGACTACTAGTGTGTCTTGGGGACTACCAGAGTGTCTTGGAGACTACTAGAGTGTCTTGGGGACTACCAGAGTGTCTTAGGGACTACTAGAGTGTCTTGGGGACTACCAGGGGGTCCCAGGTACTACCAGAGTGTCTTGGGACTACCAGAGTGTCTTAGGGACTACTAGGGGTCCCAGGGACTACCAGGGGTGATGTTGAGGGACTGGGGTCCCAGGTACTACCAAGTGTCTTGGCAGCTACTGGGGTCCAGGGACTACCAGAGTGTCTTAGGGACTACCAGAGGGTCCAAATTGCTACCAAGTGTCTTGGGGACTACCAAGTGTCTTAGGGGACTACTAGGGGTCCCAGGAACTACAGAGAGGGTCCCAAGGACTACCAGAGTGTAGGGACACTAGGGTCCCAGGATACCAGAGTGTCATAGGGGACTACCAGAGGGGTCCCAGGTACTACCAAGTGTCTTGGGGACTACCAGGAGTGTGTAGGGACTACTGGGGGTCCCAGGTACTGCCAGGTGTCTTGGGGACTGCAGAGGGGTCCCAGGGACTACCAGAGTGTCTTGAGGGACTACCAGAGCCTGCTGGGGACTACTAGAGGGGTCCCAGGAACTACGAGAGGTCCCAGGACTACCAGGGTGTCTTGGGGACTGCTGGGGGTCCCCAGGGACTACCAGAGTGTCTTGGGGACTGCAAGGGTCCCAGGTACTACCAGAGTGTCTTAGGGACTACCAGAATGTCTGGGGACTACCAGGGGTCCCAGGTACTACCAGAAGTCTTAGGGACTACCAGAGTGTCTTGGGACTACTAGAGGGTCCCAGGTACTACCAGAGTGTGGGGACTTCTGGAGTGTCTTGGGGACTACTAGGGGTCCAGGGACTACCAGAGTGTCTTGGGGGACTACTAGGGGGTCAGGTACCAAGTGTCTTGGGGACTACCAAGTGTCTTGGGGACACCTAGGGGTCCCAGGTACTACCAGAGTGTCTTGGGGACTACTAGTGTGTCTTGGGGACTACCAGAGTGTCTTGGAGACTACTAGAGTGTCTTGGGGACTACCAGAGTGTCTTAGGGACTACTAGAGTGTCTTGGGGACTTCTAGAGTGTCTTGGGGACTACTAGAGGGTCCCAGGGACTACCTGAGGGTCCCAGGGACTACCAGAGTGTCTTGGGGACTAC